TTTAAGGCTAGTGCCAGACCCTGCAAAAATCTCTGCTAAACAGGCTTTAGTATACACTGTTTTTAAGAATTTCACTTGTGTCTAAAACTATAGTAATTTTGCTTGATATTTTTGATGCTTACCTAGGGAGCACAGAAAGGTTTTCATGTTTTGTTCCTACAAGCTTCTTTGAATTTCACAGTAAATGGAAATACTTGTGTCTGTCTGTCTTTCTGAGCTATCACAAAAGTCTTTCTCTCTAGCATTAGAATATTGATTTCTGCCCCCCTCCCAACTTATCTACCTCTATTTTCTAACACCTATACTAGGTGTGATTATGGGATAAAACTCAATTGAAAATGCTATGATAACATTTTACCTTTTGCTTTAAAAAATGTGTCTTGTTTTCAAATAATCTTTACATAGTGAATTTTGGTGGCTTTAGTGATATGTTTATGACTATTTCTTTTTTTACACAAATGCTGTGGCATATTTTTCCATAAGGAACAAAAAATAAAATCAAAATTTATTTTTGATTCATGCTTATTGGGATTTTATTATTCAGAGCTTAAAATATTTTGTTATGTTTATGAACTGTCAGGCTTTGTTTTATGCATTTGTTTTGTCTAAATGTTTTCATGAAAGAAATAAATTATATTTATGTTTACTCATTTTTCCATCTGAATTTTTAAAAAACTTATTGCTGTGAAATTTGATTTTTTAATAGGTGATGATGTTAATCTTTTCACATGTTCTAAGTTTTAAATTTTTCATTGATTTTTTAAAAAAAATTTTCTTATTCTGTTTAAAACTAACACCTCTGGCCAATGTTCAGTGTTTGTTTATGCTAAATACCAAATTTTTCCAAAGGATTGGTTAAGTAATGAAGGGGATCACTTATGATGAATGGAAGATGAAAATAATTCTATTATTAAACAAGAGATGTTTCAGAAATTACACCAGAAGCTGTGACTTATTTTTAACCTGATTTCAGATGCACTCGTAATGCCTTCTGAGTGTCTTTAGATTTCTCTTGATCCGTCCCAGCGCTATTATATCGCTGTGCTTAAATAGACATAAACTTCACAGTCTCCCCAGGTGTCTATATTGGTGCCTCCACTACACCATGTTAAAATCCAAAAGAAGTCCTTGCCATTTTATTATAGATATATTTTCTCTGCATCAGTTTGAGAATCAAAAGACAAAAACATATGCAACATAAGGGACAAAATTTAGGTGATGAGAATTTTCACTAACCTTATATTTTTGAGGAATAGGAAAGATGGAACCTTAGAATGCCTTTCCCAAACCCAGAGTTTGTTTGCTGAGCAAGTTACTGTGTATAGAGTTTCATACCTTTGTGTTCTTGTCTTTCTGTCTCCATGACTTTGAAATCCCCTTCCCCTGGATGCCTGACAGAAGTGTCACCTCCTCCACGGGGCTTTCCTGTCTTCCCAGCCAGTGCTAGACTTGCACCCTTTGACACACCTTAGAACTGTCCCTAAAGTCTTCTGAAACCTTCGCATAACGTCATCATTACTTTATATTCCTTTCTCCTCCAGCGTGATCCGCATTGCCATTTCTCTACAGTGCCTAGCACGATGCCTGGCGAAGGGTAGTAACCAGAATAACAGGTACTGACTTCCCAAATTGTCATCTCAGTAGGTAAGGACATGAACCTTCAAAATTATGAGAGCTCTCCCCAACATATAGATCATTACCAATTTACATGGAAAACTGACTTTTTTACTGCTATTTCTATCCAGAATGAACTGTGAAGCAGTGCTTGGTTCTACTCATAGAAATGCATTACTTCATAGCTATGCAAATATTAACTCTCCAAGGCAAGACTGCCCCATGTGATATGCAAGTAACTTTCATTTTATTCGCTTTGACAGAACAATAAACCCTCAATAGTTCAGGCTAAATCAAGTTAGGTGGATCTGAAATAGCGAATACTTTATATACATAAAAAATAAAGGATCTCCTTATAGAAATTCTGATATACTACTATAAAAACTAGATTAAAATTATTATTATTCTCGTATCATTGTCTTGTATATATATAAACAGTATACAAAATGTCTTATAAGGCTTTATTCTCTTTAACAAATCTTACACTATACAACAGTTTTTCTCAAATGTGAGTAAAATACTAACTGCACTTAAAACGGAAAAAAATTCTCATAGACCCTGGAGAACTTATCTTCAGACCCAATTATGAAAAACTCTGTTAAACATTCAATTCTGTCCCTGTTACGATCAACTGGTGCCAGTGTGCTTGTCACCACACATGCAGATGATGGTGCTGGAGTCGCAGGGCTACGCTGAGTCATGACAGTCATCCAAGTGATCCCACATCTAGGATCCCCTTACAGGACGCTCCAGCACCTCAAACTCCGTGGTCGTTCTCTGCTGTGCCCTCCACTGACCCACACGTGGAACTCAGCTCCAGTCCCTTGGCTTCTACAGACGTCTGAACACACCGAATGTTTGGGGTTGTACAAACTTAAAATTGAACATTAGACTTCCTGCTCCCANAACACACCGAATGTTTGGGGTTGTACAAACTTAAAATTGAACATTAGACTTCCTGCTCCCACCCATTTCCCAACCACTCTGCCACTGCAACGTCTCACTGACAGCCTTCCCTGGAGCTCCGCCTGCCAGCCCCATTACCAGCTCTTCCCCTCCCCCTCCCTTCTCTTCTCTTTCCTTTTCTCCCCAAACCCCAAATTCACAGAAATTTAGCTATCACATGTTCATTCTCCAGCTTCCCGAACATGCCCTAGGGCCTACTTGCAACAACCGTGGGAAGCTTTAACAAGCCATCCTGCCGTAGGTGGCTGTAGGACCTCACAGAGGCTTTACTGTTTCTGTCTTCCTCTCGCTGGGGCTGGCTCGTGTGCCTGAACCAGGCCTTGGAATGAGGCAAGATGAGGATTCATGGATGTCCCGGGCAAGCTGCACCCAAATGTCAGGGAGGAGAGGACGGAGTATGTGGCTCTTCTAGATACACCAGAAAAATGGGCAAAGGATATAAATGGGAAATTCACAGAAGATGAAATGAAAATAGATAGTAGACACAT